TGCTGGCTGAGGGGTAGGAGACCATCTTGACAATCTCCCTAAAGGTAGGAAATTGTCGTGATTTGTTTCTCTTTGGCTTTGTAGCTTTCCTTTAACTACTCACTTGCAAATGAAAAAAAAAAATCTGATTATCTGTGAATTTCCAAGAATCGGATCAAAATAATTTTTTTTAAATGCTATGAACACACAACACAGGAGGACAATTCTTTGGCTTCCTTTTTGTGTCTCCCCAAGCAGAAGTATTACATTGTTTTTCTTCACCTTTAAAATAGACAGCATCTCTTCACCACGCAGGTAAAGATACTAACTACTGAAGATAAGCGAGAGATAATCTTCAGCTGAGTCAAGCCCTGGCTGGAATTTCTGCCACTATTTCCATTCACCAAATTGCACCACTGATTGTCTGTAGCCAGGCATTGACCAACACAACTTCTCCACTGGCAAGGTCAGTGTTTAATGGTGATGGTTTTGACTTCTGTGAAGAATTCATAAGAGTCCTTGGCTCCTTCTCTACCTACTCCAGAACTCTTCATCCCCCCGAAAGGAAGGTTCAGCTCCCTGATGAGCCAGCAATTGGTCCAGACCAAGCCTGACTGCAACTTCTTAGCCACCCGGTGGATACGCCCCACGTTGCTAGACCACACGGTCGCTGCCAACCCATATTTGACACTATTGGCTCTTTTAATCACTTCCTCTTCGCTATCAAAGGGGACAACACACGTCACAGGACCAAATATCTCTTCCTTCATGCAGCAGGACTCGTCCTTAATGTCGGTTATCACGGTGGGAAGCATAAAATAGCCTCCCTGATTCCTGGGGGGAAGACTCAACTTGTCCACTCCCTCACCGCACAGAATCTGGGCCCCTTCAGCACGAGCTTTCTTGATGTAACTTCGGACCTGGGTGGGTGAAAACCATGATTAGTAACATCTTACCTTCACACAAAGCAACAAAAAATTCAGTATTTTGAAATCATCTAGGAAAGGCATATGAGGTCATTGCCGAGAAATCTAAGGTCGATTATCTTATCACTCAGCTGCTGAGCCCGAGGAGTACAAGTGCTCATCACTTGGGCATTCAGTCCTCATATGGAAAAGGAGAGAGGAATTTACTTAATGCTTAAGTGCCAGTGAGATAAGTGCTTTTCATATATCCTCTCAAGTCTGTTGGCAATGTATTGTTATCCTCTACTTGCTGATGATGTCATTGAGCCTCAGAAAGGGTATGCATTTCATAAAACTAATAAACAGGAACACTAGAATTCATAGTCAGCCATATTCAGTAATTAAATACACAAAAAAAGAATATTTTATCATTTTTTGAGGGGCCATGCCCATTGTAGTAAGTGTGAAGTGGAATGGTGTACAAGATTTAACTAAAGGCCAGGATATCCTTCCAATATCTGAGCTTCCAGAACAAATAATTTCTAATTTCTAGTCTAATTACTGATTACATTCAGAAATATATCTAGGTAACTATAATGGAAAATAAGTTATGTAATAAGCTAACCCAGTGACTTAGAGATGAGAGATATTTATTAACAATGGTTGTAGACTTATAATAATGATATATACATTTATATATGGAAATGTTTAAGTCACAATAATATATGATTCGGCCTCTGAGCAGTATTATAAGCATAGGAGAAATATAAAAATAATCCCCAAAATTTAAAGTACAGAACAAGAGTCAACTAGTACATCAAAGGCAGAGTCAATTTTGAAGGGGCATTTTGGGTTCCTACTTATCATTTATCATCTGAGGATTCTGTCCCAGTATTGAATTAGAACTCCACTGTAGAACTATATTCAAAATAGAGCCAAATATTTGCTATGTAAAAATAAAAAAGGTAGTGTTATATTATTATTTTTTGCTTCAATTTGTAGAACACTTAATAAGCCATACGTCAAAGACGTTTTAAAAACAGAACATTTGGTTCAATTTATTCTCCCCTCTGCTACACCTCCTCCCCCAGCTGGCACGATGATCTCAAAGCCTTCCCAGAAAACCCCAGGCCAGTTTGTGGGTAGAGACTAGAATAGGTTTGGACTTCTCTTTCCCCTCCTCTCTCACTCCTTTTGAAACAACCCACCCACATTAATGAAAAGATGTCAAAGGCTGCCTCTGGGGTGAATGAAGGAAGTCCAGGCCAGGGTCTCCAGGGGCACATTCTGGAGGCAGTGCCAAGAAATATTCACAATTCCATGTACAAGGAGTGTTCTGGCTTCACACTGTCATGTCTAAATGGGATTACAGGATTATCTCTTAGAAGTTCTTGGGATAATCAAATATGAAGAGAGGTGTTAGTTTCAAATTGTGGGTTTATCAAAATATTTAATGCACAAGGTGACTCATACTGAACTGAATTTATTTTCTAGAGGGATGACAGAATGATATCTATACTAGCAGCTCAGGAACTGAGATTTTCAGTAAAATCTGAAGAAAGTAACAACCTTGGGACTGTTAATATGCTATGAAATGTAGTGAATTATTATTAAAAAACTTTTCTTGAGTGGAGAATTGTTAGTACTTGGTAGCTTTGCATATAAAATCAGAGCATAGAGAAGAATGGACTTGGGAACCCAACTGTGCTCAAATTACCCACTAGCTAAGGGGTTTTAAATGCTCTGTGTCTCAGTTTCATCATCTGAAAATAAGATTAATACTGCCACCTATTCATAGGATTAAATAAAATAAGATATGTAAAATATTTAGCATAATGTCTCTTGACATTAGCACAGTAAGTCTCTTGAATGCCAGCAGCAGTCATTGCTGTTGATGAAGATCACAATGAATGCATGATCTGACACTTACAGCTAAGAGAATTCAGAGGTGTCCCCGCTGTGTGTCAGTTTGCTTAGCTGCCAAAGGAGATAGGGAACTTTAAGAGTGAACCTCATAGCCTGGCCCTACTGGGAGATACATCTGTGAACATGCTCTGAGCTTCCTCCAGCCTCCCTGTAAACACTCGAGAATTCTATCTCACTAGCTACATGCATCAATGGGAAGGCAGGCAGACAGCCAGATTCTCCAGACAGACAAGTAGGGGAGGATTATGGAGGGTAAAAATAGAAAGAAAAAGCAACTGTCTGAAATAGACAAGGGAGACTTTCCTTCATTCCTCGAGGACAGAATCATCGCAATTTACTTTGTATCCCCTGCAGCTACTAGGAACCTAGGAAATGACATGTCCACTTAGGAGCATGCTCTGTCTCTGTGAGTTTCTGAGCCCTTTGCCATTGCAACACAACCTTTACACATTCTGCTTGGATTCTTCTGTCACGGCATCACCATTCTATTATGACAATCACACAGAGGTAGGATGGACACAAAGACCCGAGACTCTGCAGGGCTATTTCGATTTGGAGAAGATATAGACATAGTGCAGAAGAGGAGATGAGGAATGCAAAGATGGCAGATAGACCTTCCCTGGCACACAGCCCCCAGAGCTTTCTGGCGAAAGACAAGGAAAGATGTCCCCTGTCTCCTGATCCCAGGTGGTTTGGCAGACTGAACTGAAAAGTCACAATCTGAAACGGCCAGGAGAAGGAAATGAGGGGAAACCAGGCTCTCCCTTCGTATCTTAGCCTGGACTCAGAGGAGAACTAGCTCACTTGGTGAAACTCACATAGGGAGCTGGGCTGAGGTAGAAGGAGATGGACCTGAGGTTGGGGATACCCAGAACCTGCAGGAGATGCACTCCTCCTGTCTGGGCACAGGTGCTAAGGGGACACACACATGCTAAAGGAGGCCTCAGCTCCCACCTGCCCCCCATACATTCTCAGTCTGCAGCAGGAAAGTCCTTAGGATCCACCAGGACACCCCATGCGTGGGGCTCACTATCATTGGGCTCCAACCACCAACATACTGAAAAGAAGGTAATTTAAGATCTTCTCTATGGAGTCACTCAAATACACAAAGTTTAAAGTGTGTATTTTACTCTGGAAATTTTTTTGAAAATTGTGTACTAAAATATTTTGATACTACAACTTGCTAAATTGTCTATGTTCATGTTAGGGTTAATTAAAATTACTGGGAATCACCAAAAACAAAATGAAACAAAAGTTTGATAATTTGGAGAAATATGTTGTTTTCAACTAAAATGTATTATAATCAAAAAATTGTGGTACCTTTTTATAAGTTGGTTCTGGAGAAAGCAAGAACATTGTGGGGGAGAGGGAGGATGTGGACTTACAGAAAACAGTCCACTTGCCTATTTGTAGTAAGTCTGTAAAAATCTCTAATGAATTTAGAAAATAAGCTGATCATATTTTTGAAATTCTTAGTTGGCAGTAAGAAGTTGGATTTGTATAATAATGAGGTGTTGCACACCAACATTTTTCCAAAAATTTTTAAGAAACTAGAATTAAATTCTAAAGTTGCCTATGATATAAGCTGAAATAACCAATGAAAAGATGAAGAGTTAGAGGAGAGTCTGAAGCAAAATCTCAAAGGCTTGCATGTGTTTATATGGATTTTTTTATTGTTATTGTGATTTAATGATCAGTGATACCAGATGCTTATGTTCAAGTGTTCAAGGAAAATGGAATCCTCCAGTTTGGGGGTATAACTAATACACAAGATGTAGTGTTAATTCAAACATTTGTCCAACAATAATATGAACCTATTATGTTCCAGGCACTTTTTTGGGATATAAGGATCTAGCAGTGAATGAAACTGATCATGGAGCTTGCACTCTAGTCAAGGAAAAATAGTCAATAAAGGAATAAATAATATATATTATATGTCAGGTGGTACTAAGAGTCACAGAGAAAAATAAAGCTGCAAAGAGACAGAGGAAGTTCTGGTAGGTGTGACTTTATATAGGGTGAGCAGGCAAGCTCTAATTCAGAAGATGACATTTGATTTAAGGAGAAAGCCAAGTAAATCTCTGCAGGAAGAACATTCCATGGGGCATGGGCAGCAAGAGCGAAGGGCAAGAAGGAGTGGCCTGGTATTTTCCAGGAAGAATCGGGAGGTTAGCCTGCAGCAGCAGAATGAGGGAGAAGAAAGGTGACAGAGGTAATAAGGACAGTGGTAATGGGTGACAGACTCCTGGGTCACTTTAAAGACTCAGTCTTGACTGTGAACAAGATGGGGAATGACCATACATAACAAGACACATCACAGCCAGGTTATCAAATAACCATGATACTAAAGCAAGGTTTAGAAGTAACTTGGCTAATCTGGAAACATCAGCATGGATACAAGATCTTCATAAACGGACAGCATGTGAGCTCAGCACAACCAGGCTTTAAGTTGCCTCTTGATTGCCAGCGGCATCCTGGGACATCTAATGAGCACCCACAGGGTCTGATGCTGGCTTTGAAGAGGGCCTATTGCCCATGTGGGGAAGAGCAACTCATATGGCTGAAGCTGTTTGTTGTCAGAGAGCAGAGATGCCTACAAGGGGGCCTTGGGTGGAGCTCAGAAGAACCATGAGGCAGACTAAAGAAAAGGCCACTGTGGGCAAGTAGGGTCATGCTGAGCATCAGAAATATCATGTTATGCCCAGCCGGTGTGGTTCAGTGGTTGAGTGTCAACCTATGAACCAGGAGGTCATAGTTCGACTCCCAGTCAGGGCATGTGCCCGGGTTGCGGGCTTGATCCCCAGTGGGGGGGATTTCAGGAGGAAGCCAATCAATGTTTCTCTCTCATCATTGATGTTTCTACCTCCCACTCTCTTTTTCTTTCCCTCTGAAATAAAAATATTTTTTAAAAAGTATTATGTTAAAGCCCACAGGAAAATCAAATACTTTTATTTCCCTCACTGATATATCTCCCTTTATTGGGTAAATTATGGCCAATGATAGAAAAAAAAGTCTCTCTGTTGATTTCCTATATAGAGAACTTTAAACTTCAGGTGAGTGGTGAATTGCAAAGGGGACTTCAGACTGCACCAAGCCCCTGAGCCTACTGCAAAAATGCTTCTGGAAGTTAACTTATGCTCCACAGGAAGCGTTCAGAGCGTGCTTAGCTTGTTTTGCAACAGTTATTTGCATGTGTGGGTGGGCAGGCACGGAGGTCGAGTGTCCAGAACAGCCGGACAAGAGAGGACAAAGAAGCCCCATGCGCCTGGTGATTCCTCATTCCACGAGGGGGCAACATCCACAACTATAAATCCCATGGGCACTCTGGGGACTGCTGCCTAGGCACCTATAATCTTGCAGGCAAGTTCAACTGGAAGAAAACAGCCATGCTGGTTAGCCTCACTTTAAATAAGTGATCACAGGCCTCAGTGAGCCCTTGGAGCTGCCTGCTGACAACACAATCATCTCAAAGTCCATTCTCTCTCCTGATCTGCAAGACTATTTCATACCTTCTCCTCTCCCCTGAAACCCCCAACACCTTCTCTCCCTGTCACCTGCTTCCTATTTCACTGAGAAAAAAAAAAGAAGAAGAGACCATCAAGCGACATTACCTGCCCACCTATGAGCCTCTGTGCTTCACAATATTGTGAAGGTCAACGTTAAAATGTGCTATGTCTGCCACGTCAGTGCAGTGCCACAGGTTTTTACAAACTTAAGTAACGGCTTTGCCCCTTAGTGACTGATGACGGAGGCACATTTTCCTTGGTGGGCCTTCGTTACTGCAGCTGAAGACAAGAGCCTTCAGTACCAGAACCTATGACTTATTTTGGGTAGAGCCACATCAGGTAATAAATTAAAATGACTTTAGAAATCAAAATCCCATAAACCACCCATACACCATCAATGGCTTCTCCCACGTAGGCCACCACTAGGCACTCCACTAACTAAAAACCACATAATTTGGACTGCGTGTTCTGGAAATTACAAAATCCTATCTGCTGTAAGCCAGAGGCAGCACCCTCTCCACTGGGAACAGTTACTTCTGGAAATTTTGACCTTTATGCTTGGAAAATTGCCTTCTCACTCTCCTGGTGGTATCTCCATGCTGACTTCTCAAGTGCAGTCATTTCACACAGATGCTGTTTTAAATCTGCACTACATTTGTTTATTCACATTCAACATTTTTAGACTCTGTGTCCAGAGATAACTTCCCACAGGTCATAACTGTTTAAGATAAGGTAGTAATTCACAATATTCCAAAGCATGGGCGTGCTGTGCCTTCCACTGAGCTTCCCTCCAGTGACATACATGGCAGAGATTTACTTACTTTCTCCAAATGAGCTTTACTTATCAGAGCGCCCATGCTGGCCGATGGGTCGGAGGGAATGCCTACTTTCCATAGTCTGGTAGCTTCTAGAAACCTCTTTAAAAATTCACTATAGATGCTCTTCTGGACAAAGATCCTGCTGGTACAGAGGCAGATTTCACCCTGCGAAGAAATACACATGAGGAAAATGACAAGACTGCAGGACACACTCCTTCATGGACAGATCAGGCTGCACTCTGAGCAATATATATATATATATACATATATACATTATATATATATATATAGTCACTTTCTATAGGAATTTCTGTGAGGGAATTAATTACAATTATAATGATCATGAAAACAATCATTATACGGAATGTTTTTCACAAAAACCCTATTGGAAGGCATAATTATTGTAATTTCCATAATTTACTGGTAAAGAAGTGAAGGTTCAAAAGATTATGCAAATTATTCAAGTTAAGTTGAATAAAAATATATCTCATTCCACTCATCTTTCCTTCTATGGAAGTTCTAACTCTTCGGCTTAAGTCTTTGTTTTTTTACTTTAAAAAATTTAAAATACAGGTTTGGAGAAAATCATTCACTATTTATGCTCCATCCTAGGGACTATCCTGGGTGTTGCTAATATGTCACACAGAAGCAGGCACAGTTGCCCTCCCCATGAAGCCTACAGTGTAGGGTATCTGATCCTGTGTTCCTCACCCTCTGGGATGCTATGGCCTTGAAGACCCTGATGAGAACTATGGACCCCAGGAAAATACCTGCTACACGGTGCCAGGAGATGGAAAGTTGCCCTGAAACGCATCTGTGACTTTAAGGTAAGAAACCAGCTCTAGACCGGTTCTAGTATTTATTTCTAAGGATGAGAATGCATTTGGGAGACTTCTGGGAGGAGAAAAAAGTTTACTGGAAATAGGGCATCTAGACAGCAAGAAGAGTCTGGGGAACTCGGTGAATACCAGTATGGATAAGCTTGGAGTAGCAAAAACCAATCATTCTGCCCATGGCTGCTCCCTGATAAAAGTGGTGTAACTCAAGAAAAGGGATGTGCTGAATGGAAGCTGTGACTCTACAAGGCTACAGATTGACACTAAGATTGAACAGATGGTCAACGCAGTAACCCAAAGTACCGATTCTCCTTTCACTGATACAGCACTGGATCAACCTTCTCACTCCTGGCTGTGCATTGTGATGAAACAGATCGTACATGACGGGGCAGCAGAGTTCAAAACCAACCAACAACCAAGCAAACAAGCAAACCAAAACCCAGAGACATGCCTGGTTGGCAAAGCTGGACCTGACCGTGGTGGGAATGCACTCCTCCAGGTTGGCATCCTCAAAGATGATGGCAGGGTTCTTGCCCCCCAGCTCCAGGGAGAGCCTCTTGCAGTGGGGAGCACTCAGCTGTGTGATCCGCTCGGCTGTGGGCTGGCTCCCGGTGAAGGAGATGAGGGGCACCTCTGGATGGGACACCAGGGCCTCGCCTACCCTGGGCCCTGTTCCGAACACAATATTCACCACACCGGGTGGAACACCTGGATGGGAAACAGCATCAGTTACAGGAAGTATTCTCAGTATGTTGAGGACTTGAGGTTACACGGAGATTCTCCTTGGAAGTCCAATAGGTGGGAGTGAATTCAAGGCTATCTCTAGTTTAATAGTAAAGCAAAAACTACAGTATCACCTCTGCCTAGCATACACCCTAGGCGGAATTTCTCCAGATGCTTTGCCCCAGAAAATGCAGGTACAACATTCTACATAATTCATTCCATAAAACTGACTAGGCCTCCGAGGCTAAGGATGCAGAGATTCCTCAGGTAGGTCTAGCCCTGTGAGGGAGGAGAGCCCTGCTCCACGCTGGCATCCAGGAGTCAGAGTGCGGTGTGAAAATGTCAAGTAGAGGGGAGTGCGAGTGCTGCAAAATCCAGGGAAGACGTTGACTATCCTGGTCCAGGGGAGTGAAGGCGGCTCTCCCCACCCCAGGAAGGTAAGTAGAAGCTCCTGAGCCCCATGATACAAATGTATCACTACAATCTAGGTCTGACTTAAAGGTACCAAAAACACCCAAAATTAGAAGCCCCAGTCCAGTCTTTTCTATGATGAGATCCTACTGCCCTGTGTCTGCATGTATTTACTTATGTTTACCTGCTTATTACCTACCCACCACTAGAAGGTACACTAGCTAAGAGCAGAATAGTACTTGTGTCTTGCTCTCCATTGTATGTACCTCCTGCACACAGCCTCGTTTGCCACATAGGATTAATACCATTAAGTGCTGATTCTCATTTACTCGGTGCTTACTGCGGGTCAGTCATTGCTGTAAGGGATTTACCTTCTTTAGATTCCCCTAACACTTCTATTAGGGAGGCAGCATTGTTCGGAAATAATTGTTAAGTAAATGGATGCTTATCTAAATGTACATTATCCGGATTAGAAATGGCCCGTGACTTCAACGTGTTCAGAGAGAAAATCTGTGTGCCATTGTGTTGTGTCCTGGGGGCCCTTAGGGTTTGCCTGGAGGCAGCTGAGTTTGTTCCCTCTGTTTCTTCAGGCTTGACGTACATCAGGGACGGAAGTCTCCAGTGTATGAGGATTTTGAACTACTTCCAGCTCCTAGTATTTTTCCCTGGCTCCACATTAGACATTCTCTCAGCAGAAATGTAATTTTTTGGGTTAGAACATTCTCTTCAAGGATATGCTTTTAAAGTGTAAATAATAATGTTACATTGATGATTCATTATCATCCAAAACATCTTCGCATAGAGCCACAGCCTTAGCCCAATCACCTTGAGGCCACAACCGAGGCCCCGTTCAGGTGAGCTCCTCTACACTCAATGTGCACATGTTGAAATCTAGCATAGAAGTCAGTTTTCTGGATCATATAGCTCTGCCAGGAGAGGAGAGGCCCAAAGCCAGGCACCATGTGACAGTAGCTGGGCCCTGGGTTGGGGCAAAGAAGATGCTTGGGGGCGAAGTCCTCCCTGTGGCTGATGGGAGGAAAACAAGAACAAGTGTCCCACCATTGGCAAGAGGGGGCATGAGAAGGTGGACTCTATTTCGTAAAGAAGGGGATGAGAACCTGATCTCTGTGTAAGGGAGGGATGGCACATTCTGGAACACGAGAGAGTCGGGCACATTCACTTCGAACCCCCTCCAGAGGCCTAGGGCATCCACAGACGTGATCCCAAAGACCTAGGCTGGGAGGCTTCATTCCTTGGTAGGATACAAGGGGAATGGGCAGCTGAACAAGGTCATAGGCCCAGTGCTCTTCCCTAAACAGGCATGCTTTAGCCCGTCATCTAAATCTTAAACAACTGACTCAACTTTCCTGGGAGCCAATGTGTACGTTTTTGCTTCAAGAGAAAAGACAGCCAGGAGAGACAGATGGGCTCTTTCCAAACATCCACTCCGTGGACACAGGTGAGCCCAGTAGTACCTCCTCCATGAAGGAAGCATGCACAGCAGAGACCAAGAGAGCCAGAAAGACAGCCCCTCCCTGCCACTCACCCATCATTCCTACCCAGGCCATGGAAACACGAGCAGAGGGACCTGACAGCAAGGGGCCTTCTCGTGGGGTACAAGACAGGCTCTCCTGGCTGCTACCTTCCAAACCTGGTGCAGTGTCAGGCTGAACACCCCAAAACTAAACCAGAAACCCACCCTGAATGTGGTCATTGCAATATTAGCAAAAAGGGGGCCCGAAGCCAGATTATATAAGTGCCTGAGTAGTGAATCCCAATGCAGGGGAAACAGAGGGATGTATTTCAAATCTCTTGAAAATGGGCTGTTTCTAGCAGGTATGCTATCACTATACAAACCAGAGGAGTGCCTAGTAGTACTCTTATTTTCATCAAGATTCACTTGTGGTTCCAACATCAGCTTTAAATTGACTATCAAGCACAACCCCTGGAGCAGGCTGGTATCTGGCTCCCTGGGGCTCTCTAAGCCTGTCCTTGTCTTCCTATCATGTGCCCTTTGCTGCCAGCTGAGCCTGCAGGGAAGAACTGTCCTGCAGTGGCACGTTCAAGGGTTGAATAGAGGAAGCCCTGTGAGCAAGCCCCACGATGCAGGGAATTTCTCAGAAAAGGAACAGGGAGACAAAAACCAAAGATGTCGGTGGAATCTGTTTTGCTGTTTAGTAGGTTTCAAATGTCAGTGACCCTAAGGGGGCTAAAGCCTACACAGTGGGCAGCCCCCAAGCCAATCCTCCCTCAAACTCTGGCACCTGATTACCTGCTTTCTCCAGGAGTTTGCACATCATCCACGCAGTCACTGAAGTCAGCTCGCTGGGCTTGGCGATCACAGTGTTGCCGGCAGCAATGGCCGGAGCGATCTTCCAGGTCAGCAAGTAGAGTGGCAAATTCCAGGGACTGATCAGACCAGCTAACCGAGAGCAGAAGCAGTGCCAACAATGACATGCCCCTCAGGGCAGACCGCCCCACGGGGTTCTCCCGCACGCTGCACGGAACCTAAGCTCCTAAAACCCCCAACTTGGCTTATCTGTAGCCAACTTCCGGGAAATCATTCTAAAATGTATTACCAACAACTGTGCCTTGGAAAACTATAAATTGATACAGTTCAGTCTTTTCTTGATAATTACAATTATATTAATGAACAACAGTTGTATAAATGTTGGGGCTAAACAGTTCCATAATGTGATGAGTTTTGAGATTTATGGGCTCATCTTTACATGTGTCTAAATCTCTCCCTCCTTGTCATTAAACTGTCCCGCTACCATTTCTTCAGAGTTTATTGGATGGAGACATAAAATTCAAGCTTTTTAGAATTATTTATAAAATAAGAGCAAAGAGGTTCTGAGGTTGTGAAATCCATCTTAGATCGCCAGAGGATTTTTGCATTAAAAAAGTTTCTCTAAGTTCTCACCTGTATCCTGATCAGATAGGTTTTCTCTTTAAGTAACAGAACCAACAACTAGACTATATCTTCATGTGATTGTATGAAACTGCCCAGCCTCCCAACCATGAAACAAGCAAAAATAAAAACGAAGTCACCTGACTTATAATCTGCCTTCAAATCTGTGCTATAAAAGTATATACACATAGTTTATGTTATCACATTTCCCATTGAAAACTCTTTGCTTTAGGAGATACTATTTTTGCAGCATAATGTATTAGTATACTTCTTAAGATGTCTGAATTTTTCATAATGCCTTGAAAAAACCTTCCAAAGGTTTCAAATAATCAAATTGGTAAGATGTCCCATTTTCTTTCCTTTTAACATATTCTTTTATCCTGTCATAAAACATAACTGGTAAAATATGAAGAGTGGGGGTTTTTCTCAGATGAAATAGTGACATCTAGTGGAAATTTTCAGTCATTGCAGATATTTAAGGGTCTTCAAAGGTCAGGAAGCAAAGAAATGAATGAGGAAAGTAGATAATTCAGCCAAAGCTTATTTACCATGTACCTGGCACTGTTCTGAATGTTCTACAGTTACTAATTTATTTAATTCATATAAAATATATAAAGGCAAAATCAAACTATTCTTTCAGATAAGAATACTGCAGCACACACGTTATGTAACTTGCCCCCCACACATCTAGAAGCCATGCTCTTAATCTACTTTCTGGAAATAGACTCTTTTTTTGTTACAAGGGGGAAAAAACAATCCTCCTTTGTGAATTTCCTCTCAGCATCATTCTTTTACCTGTGATTTCCCAAGAACAATCTCCCAGGAATAAGTAGAGAATTTCACACAAAGAAAATAAACCAGAAATCGATTTTTAAGGCCAAAATTGTATTTCAGTCACAGTAGAAGAAGCCTTTCCTTTGCCTTAGTCTGTCCCTTTAGATCAGTTCTACAGAACTGACTGAGCTGCTCTCTGTGCAATCGTGGTCCAGGCTTTCCTGGAAGAGCACCTACCGATCCCCACAGGGGCCCGCACGGTATAGTGCAGACAGCCCATGTGGTCCATCTGGGTGCACTCCGAGGTGTGGTGCAGGATGGAGGAGGCGAAGAACCGGAAGTTCTGTACAGACCGGGGAATGTCCATGGTTCTTGCCAGGGTAATGGTTTTCCCTGTAAAAAAAATCAACAGAAAGCACAGTCGGTGTATTTCACCATGGACAGTAGAGACAGTATCACTCACATACCCCGCTCACACTGCAGTAGCCTCCGTTCCTACTCGCCTGGGACAGACATTCACTAAATATACAAAGCATTGGTCATGGTTTAATAAAACCGTGAAATAATTAGACAGGAGGTTATAAGGTGAGGTGGGGGGAGGTAAATTGAGTCAAATGATCTTTGCTTTGTGGACTGAACAGTTCAGAGCTGTCATCACTAATTTGCCAGATGCTAACACTTCACCCACACCAGCTCTTTCAAAATCGCAAGCTTTGTACATGTCACAAAGAGGGAGTTGGAATCGTGGGTGTAAAGATAGCTGTCCTTGGATATTACAAAAACCACTTTGATAAACACGTGATGTATATTAAATGTCCCCCCAACACGGGGAGGGGTCATTGAGATGGGCACGTGGCAGAACTACGGAAGGAAACCCCTGGCGCTGCAGCTGTGGGCACTTGGTCGCCTGTCACGTGCCCCACACGCATCCTAGCTCCGGGTTGAACAAGCCAGAAACCTGCGCTTGCCTGGCGCGTTGCTTGTTTCCCTTAGAGATGCGGGGACACTGGGGTGCCTGGAGCTCCAGCGGGAAACGTTTTCCTCCTAAGGCCTTGGAGTCAGGCTGCTCCCTAACTGCAGGCCGGTGTACAGCACGCACGTGATTGTCAACCATTGACTTCCCCAAGAGATATCATGGCAAAGATCCACAGGCACTTACTCCCTTACCCCGACCTCTGGGAGCAGGTAAACTGGGACAATTGTGCTGGAAGTGGGAGAGCAGTATCTCAGATGGCTTTCTAAGTAACTGGACTGCGAACTTCAAATGACCTGTGCTTCATCATTCGCCTCTTGGACTTGGTGGAAGATCACGTGATCAATCCTGGCGCCTCCTCCCTCCCCAGATCGGTGCCCTTTGACAGGCGTGTTTGCAGTTCCTTCCACCAAACAGTGTATTTATTTCCCTGCCCCTTGAACTTGGTTGGGTTCCGCCGGGACTCGGGACTCGCTTTGGCCGCGAGAAGGAGGCGCCTCCGCCCCCAGAGGCCTTGGGAGGTGTTGCTTCCCCCTCTCCCTCCGCCAGGAGAAGCCGGGCGCCTGCGGCCTGATGGTCCCAGGAGGGGTAAGGTGGAGAGCGGGCCCAGTGCCGGCGATCACAGTTCAGGAAGAATCCTTGTCCAGCCTCTGAGGAACAGGTTGCACTCTCCATGAAGCGTTTAGTAAGAGACAGCTGCCCTCGACCCCCGGCTCTGCTGGCGCGAGGGCGGAAGAGGGAAAGGCCGGGCAGAGACAGCCCAGCAGCTGCGACCGCGCTCACCTTGGTCCTTGGATTCGGCCTGCGCCAGCTCCTCCAGGGACTGTTCCAGCAGGTCCGCCAGGCGGTGCAGCACCTGCGAGCGCTCCTGCGGGCTCCTGGCCGACCAGCCCGGGAAGGCGGCTCTGGCAGCCTCCACCGCAGCCTCGACCTTGGAGGAGCAAACGGGAGAGGGTCTCCTTAAGCCTTACGACTGTTGTTGCTCTCAGGGATCGCAGGAATCCAGAACCCATACACGCCAAGATTATCTCCTGCCTAATTCCGAATATTCCGGTGCTGATTTACCCGCAAGGTGTTGCTGATGTGCCCAGCAAAGCAGGGGCACCACAAAACCAAAGAAAAATGCTCCATTTCGAGCATCCAGAATGTGGCAATCAGATCATTAGAAAGAAGCTATTTGAATTTTAACAGATGCACATTTTCAATCATTTCAAAATATAGACTTTTAAAACATCGTGTGAGAGGGGAAACTTAGTTGAGAAGCACAGAATCTCTAAACTCTTAATCCAGCTCGGACATATCTGATAAAGTCTAAAATTTTGTTTGAAATCACTGTCACCCCATTTGGAATGATCAGTCATGTTGGTAATTTTTTGACTAAGTTTTATATATAAGGAAATCTGCTAAGTACTATTACACAAATTATTTCATTTAATCCCTTCTAAAATTCTGTAACATGAGTAATGCTTTGCCCATTTAGATGAAAAACACTGAAGCACAGAGAGCTCAAGTAACTTGGCAGAGTTCACACAGTCAATAATTGGCAGAGTCAGGATTCAAACCCAGATCTTCATGGCTGCCAAGACCACGAGCCGGCCTGCTATGGCATAGCAACCGCCTCTGCTCCTTGCTCCCTGCCTGTCTCTGCCCAGTGAAAGAGGCCTCTTTAGGAGAGAAGGGTATCTGTAGTTGAACAGAGAGCTTGGGACCCAGTTTTAGAGCTAAATCCAAAAGGAAATAGTGTGTGGGAAGGTATGTGCAAGGCAGAATAAATTTTCAGGCCACCTGCTGCCTTTCTCCTCTCATAGGCAATGTCTAAGATAGCAAATTTATAGATTGTGTTGCCCTCTCCTCTCTCACATGCATGACAAACATTTATAACTAGAGGCCTGGTGCACGAAATTTGTGCCTGGGAGTGGCGGGGGAGGCCCTCAGCCCAGCCTACACTCTCTCCAATCCAAGACCCCTTAGGGGATGTAGTCCCTCTTATAATCTGGGACCACTGGCTCCTAACTGCTCACCTGCCTACCTGATCACCCCTAACTGCCCTCCCCCCCCCCCACCAGCCTGGTCACCCCATGCAGCCTGTTGGTCAGTCATTTGGTTGTCCCTCAATAACCCCCGTGCTGGCCTGGTCACCCCACGCAGCCTGCTGGTTGTTACTGTTACTGTGCCGGCGCCCCCTACAATTTGCATATTCTTCTATTAGTATAGCTCATAGCCTTCCCCGCCACTGGACCCACAGGCTCAGCCCCAGAATTCTCTTCACAGGCTTCCCAATGCCACAGCTTATTTCTTGTATCACATGACCTGACAATTCCACGGCACTTAGGCCCTCTTACCGAAAACCTGATCTCACTTTTCTCCTTTTTCTTTATGTGAACAAGGTCACTTTCAGATAAGCTGAGGTAAGGTATAAAATGTCTGGAAAGATGATGGTTTCACCTCAAAAACTGAATCTCTAATATGGACCTGCAGACAGGATGAAGGGAGACATGTGGGCCTTAGTAATCTCCACCATAGATGCAGGCTCATGGACATTCCTGTTGCCAAGGCAACAAGAGGAGAGTTCATTTGTACAGTAATGTAAAATTCTAATCTTCCTACACTTGTCACTATAAAACTCTAATCTTTTTGAGAAACAGAAAACTCAGTTCCAGTAATGTTTTCTAAATTGTTTAATGCCACATGTCTTGTGTCCATTTAATATAGAATGCATACTCATCTACTATCCTATATAATAAAGAGCAAATGGTCACCATCACGCCATAATGGCTCAGACACTCAACACTGGGGAGAGGGGAATGGGGACCAGCCAGGCTGTGGCCCAGGAAAGGGACAAGCCGCCTGTCCCGCGGTCCCGGGCACCAGTGCCTATGCCTGTGTCCCAGGAGAGGCACAAGCCACCCACTCACGGTCCCCTGTGGCTGTAGCCAGCCCGGGCAAAGCCAGTCCGGGTCCCAGGTGCCTGTGACCATCTGGAGGAGGGAATCCTGGGTCCTGGGTGCAGGGTGAGGCAGAGGTGGTTAGGGGTGATCAGACTGGTAGGGGAGCAGTTAGGGGTGATCAGGCAGGCAGAGGTGGTTAGGGGCAATTAGGCAGGCAGGCAGGCGACCGGTTAGGAGCCAGCAGTCCTGGATTGTGAGAGGCAGTCAGAGATCCCCTGAGGGGTCCCTGATTGGAGAGGGTGCAGACCAGGCTAAGGTACCCCACCCCCATGCATGAATTTCATGCACCAGGCCTATAGTATACAATATTAGCAAAAGCTAATACTTAAAAAGTTTTAATATATGCCAGACACTAAGTTTTACATATGTCAGTCGGTTTAATTCTCAGAACACCACTGTGAAGTAGATATGATTATCCCCAATTCATAGATAAGGAGACGGAGGCAAAATGAGGTTCAGATCAAGGTCAAGACCATAGATACTAAGTGGTACATCTCATCTTCTAAGCCAGGCTGTCTGACTCCAGTCTGTGCTTCTGACTGCAATGCTATAAGGCAGAGAGAGAGAGACCACTGTCGAAGCCCAAACAGCAGAGATGAGAGTGTTAGCATACCATGCTCTGTAATATAAGGATGATGACAGAGTCCAGTTTGTAGGTTATGACTCCCATTTGGGACAATGTATACTAAGGGGCTTAGTGGATGCAAAGTTTATCTCAAAAACTAAATAAATGGGAACCACTGTGAGCAGCACTAGCTGCTCTCTCTGTGAGTGACTTTTGGGGAAGTTGGGCATGTAGTTTGCGTGGTGACCATATATTTCAAACCGGAGCGGGGAGGATTTATGGGATTAAATAGAATATTTGCATGGCAGATTGCTAGGAAATCCAAAATATTTGATCCTCTACTAGTAGGTATAGCCATAACTTGAAAATGCATGAGCATTAGCTGCAAAAAATATTTCAACTGAATTTGTCATATTTTTCATTTTTAACTTCCCTTTGGAAAACATGCTAAGATGAGGAGGATTGGAGAAAACAAGGATGAATTTCCCACATCTATCCAAAGTCATTAGAAGCAAACAAAAGTGTGGGTACAGTTTAACCAGCATTAGTCAATATTTTCAAACTTTAATCCACAAAGATAAGGTTCTTTTTAATGCAAGTCCGATTTAAAATAGTATTAACAATAGAAAAATAATAGCTAGTTCTTTAAAAATCCTTGCATATAATACTACATATTAAGGTTACCATTATCTTTAAATAATCTAGTTTTTTGTACCTTAAAAAATATATTTATGGGGGATAAATGGTGATGGAAATAAATAAAATAAAAATAAATAATTTAGCATCCACTAGGCATTAGATGAGTATACATACATCAGCCACATTTATCACCCCAGATATATTTACATTCTCAGTGCAATAACTGATGAAATATATTTCAAATATTTTATAAAGTTCTTCCAATAAAATTAATTCTACATCACTAAAAATATTAATGTGTGTAACACAAAGCTCTTGAGTAAGAAAAAGGATGCTGTTAAATTTAACTCTAAAAAAGGAAATTTGATTTTTAATTTCACCATTGAAATGGTCAGTTTTATTTTGCTAGATATTTTGAAGAAGTATTAGAGGATAATCCTATATGCAAATAGAATGGCAGGGCAACCAGAACAACCGAACAACTGGTTGCTATGATGTGTGCTGACCACCAGGGGGTATGTGCAGAACATGGCAGGCATTGGCCGCGGTGGGATGGTGGAGCAGGTGAGCAGGGGCGCCAAACCATGGCAGGGCACCGGTTGCTGTCATTAGGGTGAGCCTCTGGTGGTTCCTGAAAATTCTTTGCTCCAGCGCATGACAGTCCAAACCAGCACTCGCACCTGCTTCTGGCACCAGCCTCGCTCACACCTGCTGCTGGTGCCGGCCCTGCTCACACCCGCAGCCAGTGCTGGAGCTGCCACTCACACATGCTGCCGGTGCTTGGCGCCGATCTCAATCACTTGGCACCATCAGTGGGTGCAGTGGGCAGCTGCCTGCCCTGATCCACCTCCCCCTGCCCATGAGGGGCGATCGATGGTGGAGCAGGTGAGCAGGGGCGCCAAACCATGGCAAGGCACCGGTTGCTGTCATTAGGGTGAGCCTCTGGTGGTTCCTGAAAATTCTTTGCTCCAGCGCATCACAGTCCAAACCAGCACTTGCACCTGCTTCTGGCACCAGCCCTGCTCACACCTGCTGCTGGTGCCAGCCCTGCTCACACCCACAGCCAGTGCTGGAGCTGCCACTCACACTTGCTGCCAGTGCTTGGTGCCGATCTCAATCACTCAGCACCATCAGTGGGTGCAGTGGGCAGCTGCCTGCCCTGATCCACCTCCCCCTGCCCATGAGGGGCGATCAGGGCAGCAGCTGCCACTCACACCCACTGCTGGCATGGGTCCCAATTGCTCTGCACCATCAGCGCGTGCGAGCGGGGTCAGCACCGCCAGCACATGGGAGCTGCGGTGGCAGGAGCAGGACTGCCAGGAGAGAGGGGACCAGGGGCTGTGGCAGGAGGGGCTGTGGGGGAAGGGGCTGGCATGGAGGATGGGCTGAGACCCAACCCTGTGCCCACCACAGCCTGGTTGCCCACAGTTCCTTTCAAGGTGCACGAATTCATGCACTGGGCCCCTAGTCTAAAATAAATGCCTGGGTTTTCTAATTTTGTGTTTTAGTAAAGTAACACGCTTTTTAGAAAGCCATGGATATACTGGCACGTTTAAGCAACTACCGAGTGTTGGGTAGCACGTAATACTGACAATTTTTTCGAACAATACTTTTTACTAGACCCCTATTTAGGAATGCCTGAGACTTGTGTCTGTGTCTTACTTGGCCTAGATCAGTGCTCGGCAAACTGCGGCTCACGAACCACATGTGGCTCTTTGGCCCCTTAAGTATGGCTCTTCCACAAAATACCACGTGTGGGCACGCACATACAGTGCGATTGAAACTTCATGGCCCATGTGCAGAAGTCAGTATTTTGTGGAAGAGCCACACTCAAGGGGCCAAAGAGCCGCATGTGGCCTGCGAGCCACAGTTTGCCAACCACTGGCCTAGATTAATGATTTGCTTCTAACATATAATTAACCTGAGATTTGCTCCATGTACCATACATGTCCAGTTACAAAGTAAATCTTTCTAGAACTAAAGTCTGCCTTCTGCTAAAGTTTAACCTTTTCCCACCCCCCACACCCCACCCCGCCCCCATTGCTTCTAGAAAATCAGTTACACATAATTCACTGACATATTAAGACCATTTCAGTCTTTTACTTCTAGAAAATGAAGTTACACATAATTCACCAACATTATTAAGATCATTTCAGTCTTTTGCTTCTAGAATTGAATTTACACATAATTCACCGACCTGTTCAGACCACTTCAGTCTTTCCTAAGGGAACACACTCACCTCTTCTTTTCCACTGTCTGGCACTCTGCTGTACACCTCTCCTGTGGATGGATCATAAGAATCTATATAAGAGTTACAAGGTAAGAATTTTCCACCTATGAAGTTTTCCAGCACCAGAAGTGTCTTTGTTCCAGCCATAGTGAGAAAACTCCTGCCTTTTCCCCTGACGGTTGTGCAGCCAGGTTACTACCACCGCGTTCCCTCACTGCTGAGCTAGTCCCCTCCTCCTGTCCAGCCAGGTCTTCATCTGCCAATCAGGGAAAGGGGAGGTGACCGGCCGCTCTCAGACAGTATTCCAGTCTCCAGACTCTGAGTGAAGGGAGTTATCAAATAGTTCACAGACTTCCATACATGGTGAGAAGTGGATAACAATGTTAAACTAATATCAGCTTATGTGTTCATGGTCCTTTAAAATTCTCAAAAGGCGTCTGTTGGGCTCACACTATAAGCTATACATGGCTCTAACTTTGACGGAGTGCTAGGCGCCAAAGCAAGGCCTTCACAGGAATTTACTCATTTATTCCACACAGCAACCTTCTATAAAGTGAATGTCATTACCTCCCCAACTTTGTAGAAGAAACTGAGTTTCAGAGAGGTTGATGTGTCCAAGACTGAATACAAAGTTGGTCAAGAATGAACTTTAATCTTTTTGTCACTAAACCATGGGCTGTTTCCTCATTACATTTCTGCCCTCACCCTGCAGAGGTGACTGAGAGCAGGCAGACATCTCTGGTAAGGGTGGGGGGAGGGCGGTAAGGGGCAGGAGGCATGGAGGGACTGAAAAACAAAGAAAAAAGAAAGAACTCATGGACAACAGTGAGGTAATTGTGGGGGTGGGGTGGAAGAGGGCATAAAGGGGATTAAATGGTGAGAGAAAAATAAAGTAAAATAAATAAAAGAAAAAAAAGAATACCTATCCAAAAAAAAAGAAAAAAGAAAAAGGACAGACTCTCTTTCTTTTCCATTGCTCATGGGCTGGCTTCTGTACCCTGGATGCCTTCTCTCTACACTTCCTCTCCATCCAGACACCAGGGCTGCAGAGGCAGTGCCCATCTTCCAGGTGGCCATAGAGATGAAGATACAAACCAAAACTCGGTCTGAGATGTACATATAACATACAAGAAATTCCTGTTTGATGCTTCTTTGTCTTTTTATCTATTTTTGTTCATCAGTTTATGATGTTCATTATAGTCTACAAATAGGATCATGTGATGTTTATCTTTCTCTGACTGGCTTATTTCACTTAGCATAATGCTCCCCAGGTACTTCCCATGTTGTTGCTAATAGCAAGGTTTCCTTCTTTTTATTGCTGAGTAATATTTTATAGTGTATATACAGGGTAGAGCAAAAGTGGGTTAATAGTTGTGAGTAAAAAGAATCCATAGTTTATTTTTGTATTATTACTTTTTAATTATTGTATTATTTTCCATGTGAACAACTGTAAATCTACTTTTGCCCCACCGTGTGTGTGTGTGTGTGTGTGTGTGTGTGTGTGTGTGTGTGTATTTTTATTATCCATTATATCAACTAAATGATTTGTATGTATGCATGTAAGCATAACCAATGGATACAGACACTAGGGGAGCAAGGCCAGGGGAAAGTCAATAGGGGAAAAAGGAGACATATGTTCTATTATTCGTAATACTTTAAACAATAAAAAATAAAATAAAATGAAAACATTAAAAGAAATTCTTATCCATGGTGTCTGTAACAATTTCTACAAAATGGTAAGAGAAATGAACAACCCAAGAGAAAAAAAATAAGCTCTGGACACACACACACACACACACACACACCCTCCAAGAGAATAGTTGTTTTGTGTCTTTTCTAGGTTTTGTTTAGTTAAATGTTCAGTTAATTTATTTAATATATGTTGATAATATTTAAGGCTATACTCTGATTCCACTTTATATAATATACATATACACATATATATATTTGTGTAGTTAATATATTGCATTATATATTTGTACATATATATTTGTCACTAATTCTTTTTTTAGTGGCATCTAATTTGTTTATCTAAATACAGTACCAGTTTTTCATTTCAATTAGTATATTTTTCATTTTTAAGAGATATATTTGGTTGACTTTAAACTTGTCTGGCCATTTTTATAGTCTATTCTTGCTTATTCACATTTCCACCTTATATTCAAATATTAAAGATTTAAATATTTCACTCAGTTATTTTATACTATGTAATCAATAATTCCAGTATCTGTAATACAGGAAAGGGAGCTTAACCTATTTAAGACATCCTAAGCTGAAAGATAACTCCACACCTATGGTCTGAGCCATTGAGTTGCCTTGAAAGTATAACTCTCCAAGAGTAGTATTAACTTCATTATCAAATTCTTGAAGGAAACCTGACTTATAATTGCACTAGAGGCCCGGTGCACAAAAATTTGTGTACTCAGAGGGGGGCGGATCCCTCAGCCCGGCCTGTGCCCTCTAGCAGTCTGGGATCCCTTGGGGGATGACCACCTGCTGGTGTAGGCCTGCTCCCTGGGGGATTGGGCCTAAGCTGGCAATCAGATATCCCTCTGGCAGCCTAGCAGCCCTCAGGTGATGTCCACTTGCCAGCGGGGAGCAAACCTAAGCTGCAGTCAGACATCCTCAGCGCTGCTGAGGAGACAGGAGAGACTCCCACCAGCACCGCTGTACTGGCAGCCATCAGCCTGGTTTGTGGCTGAGCAGAGCTCCTCCATGGGGGAGCTCACTGACCACCAGAGGGCAGCTCCTGCATTGAGCGTCTACCCCTTGGTGGTCAGTTTGTGTCATAGTGACCAGTCATTCCCAGTCTTTCTGGTGTTAGGGTCAGTTTGCATATTACCCTTTTACTATATAGCAGTGGTCCTCAAACTTTTTAAACATTTACC